GAGCCCAGGGGTGCGCATGCCTGGGTCTCTCAGCACAGGGGAAAGCAGGAGCCAGGGCAGGGCTGGGGCATCCTCTGGACACTGTCCCCAGCCTCTGAGTCAAACACACTCCTGCTCCATGCCGTGAGCCAAGCACCCCTGTGCTCACTGAGGACATGTTCTCTTTCTAACAATATGAAGAACGCTGGCTAAGGAGGCAGTCCAGGTTGGCCTGTGGACCTGAGGTCCACTCATCCGGCCACCGTGTGGCTTCCATGGCGGATGTCTCCATGACCGTGGTGTCAGTGGTAGCACGTGCATCCTCCCACAGATGTGCAGGGTCTTTCTTTCCAGTGTGTCTGGGCCTCCTGTGTCACATGACAGCAACCTCCTAGGTAGCTGCACAGGTGTGGGGAGGTCACCATGGCAACCTGCAAGTCTGAGCCACAGCTGTGCAGGGCTGAGGACGCTGACTTGCCAGGGCATCTGCTGGGTCTCCATCACGTGGCCGGGGCTTCTTGTCAGCTGAGCTATTCGTACCACCTGCAGCACCTCTGTGGTTAAAACTTTGAGTTTTGTGGACCAGTAAACTATCTGAAAATTGCCTGCTTTTTATTTTGCTAGATGAGTGCGTTTGACAAAGAAATAAAAACAACATTAAGAGGGCCAGGGAGATGGCTCTGTTGAATAAGCGCTTGCCTGGCAAGCTCAAGGACCTGAGTTCAATCTGTGGTTCTGAAAAAAAACAAACATTGAAGAGTCTGGAGGATCACTGTGAGTTTGAGACCAGCCTGCACTACCCAGAGAGACCCTGTCTCAAAAAAACAAAAAAACAAACAACAAAAACAAAACACCAGAAGAGATAAAACAGCTTCAGGCATTTTCACCAGCTGAGGACAGGAAGTAGGGGGAGGTGGAGGGGCCCACAGGGCTTTGTCTGCCTGAGGGCAGCCTTTTCAAATCCGCACACACAGAAGGACTCTTGCAGTCCTGTGAGGCCCCACTCTGAGTGATGTCCCCGGTCCACATGGGGACAACTGTGGCCCTTGACACATGCTGCGGGCAGTGGGAGTCATGGGTTTCCTCTTCTCCTGTTATTTTTCTAGGCCTGCTATAACAAATCTCCATAATGTGGTGTCTTAAAGCACAGCAGACGAGTTTTCCTGTGGTCTGGAGCCCAGAAGCCCATGGTCCCCATGGGCAGAAAGGAAGGAAGAAGGCGGCAGGGCAGCCCAGAGCTCTGGGAGGACGTGGTCCCTGCCCCCCGCCCCCCTGCAGCCACAGCCTGGCTCACAGCCCAGGCAGAGGCTCACGGCCCCACCCATCTCTTCCTGATCTGTCCCTACCTCTCCTGCCTTCTGCGGATGTCACAAGGACACCGGCAGTGGCAGTAAGGGCCACCCCACGCCCTGACCCATGTCTTCTCTCTCCTACCCACATGCAGGTCCCCGGAATCTTCAGTGGTGAGTTGGAGTCACAGAAAAGCCATGAGCAGAGCAGCACCCAGGTGTCCTGCGAGGCAGACTCAGGTCACTGCAGGAGGAGCTGAAGGAGGCAGGGATGGCTTGGAAGCAGGCAACACCTGGGAAGGGGATTTGCTGCGGAAGAAAGGGGCGAAGGGAGCAGTAGGGAACCTCAAAGGAGGAAGGCAATGAGTGTGTGACACGCATGTCTCACACAAGCCGTGCTGGGGCCGAGCCTGCCTGGCTCATGCCGCATCTCACCTGGGCAGGTGTGCCAGGCCCTGCTGACCGGGCCTGGCCAGCTGCTGGCACTTCTGGGGACCTTTGTCCACCGGCTCTCGGGAGCAGTGGCTTAGGCATCTTGGTCACCCTCCTGTCCCGTCTGACTGGTGGTGTGAAGCTGAGGGCTTGCGGGTCCTCTCTTGCCCTTTCCCATGGCAGAAGACCAGGAAGCAAAGAAACTTGTCTTTCTGTCCTCCAAGTGCAGGGCTAAGCACATGGACAGAAAAGGATGGGTGCATTTGGACTCTGCAGAGTGGGTTGGAGGTTAATTAGAGAAATAGTTTAACCCGATTGAAGTGGTTCCCAGAGGCAAATGTCAGGGGTACGTGTGGAAATCCCCACTCATGAAGGGGTGTGCACACACACGGATCTGAAGGGTACACAGGGACACGGCCCCAGTGGCCTCTGGAGTGGTGCATGGTCGGAGCTGTCCACAGAGCTGCCGTGGACCATGCTGGCGTGTCACTGGTGGTCAGCTTGAGCAAGCTGGTGGGCCCAGCTGGGCTCCTGGAGTTCCTTGGGTCCAAATCTTGCCACAATATATTCTCCCTTAATGTGCCCTTGATTTCTCTGCACCTCAGTTTCCTGGCTGTAAAGTGGGGCCCAAGAGCCCCCATCCAGATGTAGACCAGGAATCAAGCAAGGGAGACAAATGGGTAAGAAAATGTCTTCTAAAATGAGGCAGTGCTTGCTTCTGCCTGGACTTGTAATCACACGCGCAGCGAGGCATGCTCCGCGGCTGCGTCCCCTGGTGCCCTGTCCCTGCCCGCCTGTCCACTGAGCACACGCAAACAGGCCACTCTGGGTCAACCTCGCTGTCTCTCGCCCAAGCTAATTGCTAATTTAGACTTCCACTGAGCCCGGCTCACAATTAGAATTCAAACCTTGGAGTCCATTAGCAATGAATAATGCTGCATTTTCCTTCACAGAAATTAATCAGCTGCAAATGATTAAATTACTATATATAGTGTGAAACAGAACAAAGCTGTAATTTTTATATAAATTCCAGAATGTTACATTATTTCCTTGCGGGACTGACATCCTGATAACCCCCCCCATTGCTTTGTCTCCTGTAAAATAAAAATGTTAAATCCCAGGGCTCTTCAAGCGTGCCCAAGTCTGCCTTCATATTTAATATGATTAATGTTTACCGTGTTTGTTGTGGGGTTGTCTGCTAATTGTGGCGTTAAGCCACACCCCACCGTCATCTGCGGGGCAGGGGACGCTGGTTAGAGGCAGCATCAATTAAAATTCAGCTCCACAGAGCGCGCGCATCATCTGTTGTTTATGCGTGGTGCCCGGCGTCCCTGGCACGGCACTTGCGGAGCCCCGCGAGGTGCTAGCAGCTGTGGGGGTCGGGGCAGCTCTAGGAGAGGGCACCCAGAGGCTCCCACATTCGTGGCTGGAGTGGCGGGAGCTGCAGCACCCCCTGTGCCCTGCAGCCCGCCACATCGCCTGCCCTGGCCTGCCCTCAGATGCAGTCGCAGCCCTGCATGGGAGTGGCGGTCCTCCTGCCGCGGGCTGCCCGTCTCACCCCAGCCCCTGGGGTAGGTGTCTTCTTCACAGCAAGGGAGGAGCACCTCTCAGGACACACTCTGTGGTTGGCAGGGTGGCCTCCAAGTGACAGCCAGGGTCCTGGTGTGGCCCGTGTCCCTCTGGCCCACTTCTCACCCCACAGGACCCTGGCTCCTTCTGTTAAGGCCCTGTAAACTTTTTTTTTTTTTTTTTTTTTTTTTAATGTATTTGGTTGTTGCCGCGTCTCACTACGCCACTACGTCCCTACGCCACTACGTCCAACTCTGGCTGGTTAGCCTGTCCTGAGGGCGGGGTGGCGCAGCGTGTGGTGTGGGGGATCGAAGCTTGCCTAAGCAGGCACTTTAGTCCACTGAGCTATCTTACTGGCCCAAGCCCCGTAAACCTTTTGGGAGGTCCTGGGGGAAGCCTCAGAAATGGTGTTGGGCAAGGGTTCTCAGCTCAGAGCATGCCTCTGGCCATGAGTATCCCTGCTGACCAGTGTGTCCCCAGCCCGCAGCTACGTGCAGTGATCCTCGGGGCTCAGGCCTGCACTGGCCTTGCGGGACACTTCCCTCCCTTCTCTGGGCCCCCAGTGTCTTCACAATGGGTGTCACGGCCCTGCCAGCTCAGGGGACACAGCCACACGGGCCTTGGGACACAGCGTTGTCCTTCCTGGGTGAGGGAGGCGTTAGCACAGACCACGCTGCACACGCAAAACGCTCTCTCCCAGGAAGGCGTCCTTACACTGGCCTGTCCAGTCTGTCACGGACAGAGCAGAGCCTGAGAGCTGGCTTTGTGCCCTGGTGTCCCCAGGCTGTCCCTCCGCAGACCACGGCATGGTGGGTGCCCTTGGTCTCAGACCCCTCGAAGCCTCCGCAGTCGCAGGTCCGCAGCCCTGCGCGCACCCTGGCTCCCCACCACCTAGCCCGGCGGGCCCGGGGCTTCCCCCAGCACAGCGGAGGGCCTGCGCGCCGCGGGCTTGGTCTCCTCGAGGGCAGGCTGCAGTTCCCTCCATGCTGCGGCTCCTCAGGCCAACGTCCACGCTCATCGCACGCAGATGTCCCCCACAGCACACCACACCACCCAACATCTGATTCCAGGGCGCCCTTGCCCTCACTGTCACGCGTGCGCACAGAGACCTAGGTGCAGAGTTCAGCAATGGGCTGAGCTGTCGCTTAAGGAGGTGGCGGAGACACAGAGCCCGGCTTTGGGCTGCGCTGTGGGAGATGCAGTCTCAGGTCTGGAGGTTCTCTGTCGCTCCTTGTTGTTGCTGGGGGTCCCCAGTGCCGGTGGGCAGGCCTGTGTGTGAAGGGGGCACGCGCAGCGGCTGTGTGCGCCTCACCTTTCCATCTCAGCCAGAGCCCAGAGAGGGCTGCGTGCCTGCCAGGCCTTCGCTGAGGGTCTTGGTGGGCCTCACACTGTGCGGTGAGACGCTGGGGCCGGGCCAGGGGAGCCGCGCCGCCCTTTCCTCCCCGCCTTCCCCTTTTCCTTCCTGGCTGGGAACTCAGGAGGTAACACAGACTGCAGTGAGGCCCACACGCCCTGCGGCCTCTCTGCTCCTGGGTGGGTGCTGCGGGCCCCGCGTCCCAGCTCCTGGGAGCACAGCAGCCTGTGACACGGCAGACGACGCAGACGGGCTGGAGAAGGGGGTGCCCTCCTGTCCAGGGAAGGTCTGTGCCCTGTGACGCCTGAGGTGACCAGAGGGTCTCCGTCCGCCCACCCGCTCGCTGTGCTGATGGCTGGTGTTGACCCGAGTCTCACCTCCCTGACCCGAGCGGAGGGCACTGTAGGTGACAAAGCCGCCTGCACCTCCTTGGCCATGAGCTTGGCAGCTGCAAATCCAGGGTGATCTGGAAATGCCCACACAGGGAGCGCCATTGCACTCTGCCTCCCAGCAGCAGGGTTTGGTGGAGGGGGAGGGAGGAGAGGGCATCTCTTGGGGTATCCCAGTCCTGACACACGTGGCTCCTGCTGAGGCAAAGCTGGGCCTCGGCCCCGAGCCTGGTGGCCCCCGCCCGCCCTTCCTGGAAGCGCGCTCTGCAGGAGCCAGACCTCCCTGCAGCAGCAGCTGCAGCTGCAGTCGCAGCCGCAGTCGCAGCCGCAGCAGCAGCGCCCCTGAGCTGGGCTCCTCCGGGCTCTGGGAGCCGTGTCGCCAGCCCGCCACCTGCTGGACACCTGCCCAAAGGCGGCCCGCAGCAGCTCAGTGGTCACAGCTGTTCTTGTGATTTGAGATTTGCACAGAGGCACTGAACACATTGTGGGGTCAAAGAAAGTAAAACAGAGCCTAAGAATCCTCCACAACCCTGTCACCAGAGACGGTCGCAGTGTGTTTTTGGGTTTCTGTCCAGCCCTTTTCTAGCTGGACAGACAGAAATCAGCACATCACCTGCCGGCTGGCTTTTCAGAACTGAACATCCATCCCGAGCCTTCAGTGACAGCATGGCAATGTCAGCAGTGTCCACTCTGCACAGTACGGTGCAGGCCCTGTCCTGCCCCTACAGGTCTAGGGCCACCCCCACGGCTCTCCCTGTCCTGCGCACCCCTCCTGGCCCTGTTTCCCTCCTTCCTTCCCTCCCCTTCCTGATCACCTGATATTCTCCTTTCCTCTTCACCCCTGTCTTTGTCCCTAAGAGTCTGCTGTGGGTAAGCCAATCTTGTAATTCCTTATACATTGTATATCTTGTGTTAATATCTGTTCCTTATATTATATCTGTCCCTCTAAGTAAAACCCTGACCAATACAGAATATAGTATCGGGGGGTGGTGAATGAAGGCAGGAGACAGGCAAAGGAATGTTGTGGGAATGTCCTGCTACAAGGTTGTATATGGTTAGATTTCTGGACTTATGTGTAAACATAAGAATTATATAATTCTTTATGCCTATTTTTAAAATATATTCTAATTTTTTAAATGTTTTTTCATCATATTCTATAGGGACTTAAAAGTTCAACATATCAATAGTTGATGAAAAATACCTGTTCCATGTTATGCTTAAGATGTTTGATATTCAGACAGATAGTGAGGTTAAGCTTAACAGCCTAGGTTGTATGGTAATAACAATAAACTTCTCTTCTGGAAGGTTAACAATCTAAGTTTGCTGACCAAAATTAGAGAAAAAGGAGGGCCACAAGGAAAGCCAACATTTTGTCCTTAGCCTTCCAAGGTCAATTAAGACTCAGGACATATGAGAACTTGTACTGTAATGTCATGTAACTCAGCAGTGTCCCAAATTTTTTGATCAAGGATATTATGGGGCCAAAGAGGAAAGTGAT